AATCCAAGTGCAAAGCCAGTAGGGATGTCCCCCTCTTTCCTAAAGGATGACTTGGGACCTTGCAGCCCCCCAGGACCTGCAGGTGCCCCAGCACAATGCTGCCTGCTGAGCCCCGCAGGGTTGGGGGGATCAGGGCAAGGGAGGAAAGGCACCCATGGGCAACCCAGGGACCCCGGCAGCTGCACCCAATGCAGCAGAGATGCCACCCTCCCCTTTTCCATCCTCATCAGCGCTCTTCATCCTCATCACCTGCTCCCTGTGCCCTCTCTGTGTTCACCTCCCTCTCGTTTCCTCTCCTTCCTCTCCCTCAGCTCTGGTCTGTGCTGAAAACCTTTGCCCAGGGTGGCTGCGGAGGCTCACACGGATGCAATTTACCCTTGTAAAAAGAAGCCGCGTTTGGCCAGTCTAACTGGTACCGGTCCCTCAAGGGGACAGATGTGGCCCTAGCAAAGGGGTGTTTCTGCTGGTGGAAACAGTTTTGCACAGGTCGTCCCCGTAAGTGCTGCTGCAGCGATGGGGTTTGGTGTCGATGGGGTCTGGGAGGGACAGAGGCTGGTTGGGCGTGGGATGAAGGCTGCAGAGCACCATCATTTTCCCAGGGCTCTTTGCCGGCTGGTTTTCCGGCCCCCCCAGTTTCCTCCCCAGAGGCCAGCCAGGCGCGAGCCCATGAGACACAGATTTCTCTGATTAGGCAACACCGGGCAGCCTCTCCCCTTTCGCTTTCAGCTGCCTCTTCCTCCCCGTTCCCGGAGGCAGCCCTGAGCATCCGGCCCCCAGCGAAGTGGCACCCGCACCACGACGGGCACCGGCCACAGCGCTGCCATGGAGCCGAGCGCACGGGAGCCCCTCGTGAGGAAGATGAGCTCCTCGTATCGGACCTTTCCCACGAGCGCTGTCAAGAGGCTCGACAAGGAGTACCTGCGGTAAGGGCCGGGCTGGGGCCGTGGGGCTGGCTGCGGGGCGGGCTGTGCCCCCCGTCCTGAGAGCACTGGGCTGGGGGGAGCTGGTGGAAGAGCTGCTTCATGCTGCCATCATTCCTGAATTGTCTTGAGATGGGGTCTCATCCTGCTCAGGGTGAGCGGTGCTGGATGAGCCTGCCTGGGAGAGCTGCGGGTGTGTGTGCTTTTGGGCACCTGACTCTCGTGGGGGCATAAGGTCCTGCTGGGGGGGACAGGGGCCTTGAAAGGAACCCCCTCACTGCCCTGCCGGGACGAGCCGGCTGGGTCTGTGGTGCACCCAGCTGCAGCTTCTGCTTTTCTCACTTTGTTGAACTTACTGAAAACCGCCCGGCGCGGAGGAAAGCATCGGCGGTGCCCGG